CCCCGCCCACCGCAGCCGCTGCAGACAGCGCGCGTCACTCTCCCAGAGGCTCCTCTAGGGGGCACCTTCAGTGTGCGGGCCCCCACTGCTGGCACACAGCCCCCGCAACACTGGGCTCCAGGTTCTGCAACAGAAGTCCTCCTCTGGCGAGTTAATGCCGCAGGAAAAGCTTAACAGAGCCCTGAAATCCTCACCTTCCCCTTTGACCACCCGGTGGGCCCCCCAACCCCAGAGATGGCTGATCGACCTCAGGTGTAGCATCCGCTCCGTCTGGCGCCATGCCCGGGGCGTGGGCTCTGAACTACACGAGTGTCCGATTCGAAGCAGCGGTCCACAGGTGCTCGAAACGTCCCAGGTCCCTAAGAATGCGTAACCACTAGGCATAAACAAGTGGCTAGGGAATGACAAGCTCTACACAGCGACCACCAGGAAAATCGCCTGATTCACGGGTCGGCTGCTGCGGAGCAAAAAGGTCACAACCAGCGAACATCTGAGTCTCTCGCTCCTCCATTTGGGCACAACACAGGCCTCATGCTAGAGCCCGTTCGCAGCCCGCCCGCGGCACCCACCCCCAGCAAAGGATCCGTTCTGCGCCAGAATGAATGACCATCACGGTTGTGAGACGAAAGCTCCCCTTTATGTAAGGCTGGATTCACAACCCAAGCGCCCCAGTGTCACAGAAAAGTAGGAAGGATTATTTTTGTCCTCAACCATAATCCTTTCAAAAGTCGTTACTACGCCTCTGACAAGGAAAGGGTAGAGAATCACAGTGTCTGTGTTCATTTTCTGGTTGTAAATTGGAATTCGGAGGAACGCACGAGGGCTGCGAGCGAGACAGGCAGCCCGAGCAGTGCCGGCTCCGTCCAGCGGGGGCGCTGCAGGCCTCTCCTCACTCGCGCCTGCCGGCCGCTCCTCAGCCCAGAGCGCAGGCAAGCGCGGATGGCAAAGGCCGGTCCGATGGAGCCCACCCAGTCCCAACTGCACCAGGGGGCCGAGGGCCACCAACCACACCCGGGAGAAACCGCCACCCATGAGCATGCCACCAAAAGGTGTGGCCCAATCCAGGGTACGCTTCCGCGGGTGCCCGATGAGGAGGGTCATGCAACGAATGCTCATTTAGCACCTACAGTGCGCTGAGAGGCAGAGCTACACGCAAATAGGAACGAGAACGGTCCCTGCCCCGGAGCCAGAGGCCGACCATCCGTGGGGAAGCTAGACAAGATCCGATGCTGCTACATTTTCCCTTTAATTTCTTGGCCACCACATTTTGTGACAGGTTGGCGCCCTCCCCCTAACATGTAAGGCCCTCAAAGGCCGAGTCCAAGTATTATTCACCTTTTGTATCCCCAGAGCCCGCCACAGTGCCGGTCACAAAGCAGGCCCCTAATAAATACTGCATGAGTAAGTACAAGAATTTGAGGGCGCACAGAGGAGGAAGTAATTAAGGGGAGCGGGAGGGGGAGGGTTGTCTTGAATGATGAATAGACATTTAGCAGACAGACAAAGGACATTCCAGCCGGAGGAGACGGCATTCGCAAAGCACCGGAGGCGCCGGACCGCACGACCTTTGGGGGAACGCTGCCAGTCCTTTGGGCTGGGCGCTGACCGGCAAAAAATTGGGCTAGAAAGAGTATTTCATCCTAAGGCGTTTGGAATTTGTCCTAAAGAAAATGAAAAGCCACCGATGGATTTAAACCCTTTATGGCCTTAATTGGTTACTTAACAAAATTTAAATGAGCCCCTTTACAAATGGAGGATTACC